TCATATGCTAGCAAATTGAAAAATCTAGAAGGAATGGACAAATTTCTGGACACATATGATTAAGAACATAAATAAAGAATATAAAAGCTTGTTAAACAAATAATGGTGATGAGTAATAGAAAGTCTCTCAACAAAGAAAATCCCAGAACCAAATGGCTTCACTGATGAATTTTATCCAAATTTTGAAGAAGAACCAATGTCAGTTCTTCTCAAACTATTCCATAGAATTGAAAGGGAAGAAAAAAAAAAAAGAAAGGGAAGAAATCATCCTATAAGGCCCGAAGTGCCCTCTTACCAAAACCCAACAAGGACACAACAACAACGGCAAAACCAATATCCCTGATGCAAAAACTCTCAACAAAAAAATACTAATAAAACAAATTCAACAGCATATAAAAAATCACCATATACCACCATCAAGGTGGTTCAGTCCAACAATGCAAGCGTTGTTTGATGTATGCAAATAACAAACATAATACATTAAATCAACATGATGAAGAAATACATAAAAATTATAGGATCATCTCATTGGATGCAGAAAAAGCATTTCATAAGATTTGACATCCCTCCATGATCAAACTTCTGAATAAAGTAGGTATAAAAGGATCATTCCTCATCATAATACTGTCTACATGTGACAAACTCCCAACTAAAATCACACTGAATGGGAAAAGGTGAAAGCATTTCCTCTAAGATTAAATAAGAGGACAAGTTACCACTCTCATCACTTGTATTCAATATACTGCTAGAAGTTTTAGCTAGAGCAATTAGGTAAGAGAGAGAAATAAAGAGCATAACAATAAGAAGGAAGTAAAATTATCCCTGTTTGTAGATAAGATGATTCTATACATAGAAAAAACCCAAAGACTCCACTAAAGGAGCTTAAGAACCAATAAATTGAATATAGTAGTGAGATATAAAATCAACATACAAAAATTAGTAGCTTTTTATATGCCAATAATGAATTTGCTGAGAAATAAATCCTGAACATAATCCCAGCCACAATAGCCAAGCAAAAATAAAAAAACCCAGGCTGGGGCTGTAGCTCAGTGATAGAGTGCTTGCCTAGCATGTGTGAGGCACTGGGTTCAGTCGATCCTCAGCACCACATAAAAATAAACAAGTAAAATAAAGGCATTCTGTCCATCTACAACTACAAAAATAAATAAATAAATAAATAAATAAATAAATAAATAAATAAATAAATGTTGAGAGCCACAGCCGAAGGGGCCCCAGCAAACTTCCAGCTACCAGCAAACTTCCAGCTGCCAGCTGATGATTGGCTCACAGCGGCCCCAGCAACATCTAGCTGATTGGCTCCTCTGCGGTGATGCTCATTGGGCTGTTTCCCTGCCCTTTCAGACCACGGAGCTGCTCATTGGGGGACTTTTTTGGCTCCACCCACATGACCCAGCCAATCGGCCTCAAGAGCAGGAGGATTGTGGGAGGTGGAGAGAAGCTTGTGGGGGAGAGAGAGGCTTGTGGAAAGCCGGTGGTGGCAGTTGGGCTCTGAGGGTTTTTCCTGAGAGGCTGTTTTGTTTGGCGTGTGTGGTTCTAAAAATAAAGTTAGTTTCTTTTGACAAGTGGCTCCTGATTGTGCCCAGCCAGACTGCGGCATTTGGTGGCCTGTACGGGGAGAGACTGAGGGTAAGTGAAACTGCTCGCCCCTGAGGGCAGGGCGAGAGGATGGGTAGCCATTTTAAGATTCCTCTTTTATTTTGCTTCACTTTTGTTTTAAGTTGCCTGTCCCTGGAGATGAGTGAGACGGAAGAAAAACCGCTCACATCTGAGGAAAAAGTATTTACGTCTGAGGAACAGATAGAGAGAAAGGACGGATGCACATGTCAGGAGGATAGAAAGGCTATAATGACTTTTTGTTGTTCCCTTTTTATTTCATTCTGTCTCGGTTTTGTTTGGCGTCATCTTGTTGGGTTGTATTATAGTAGAAATACGGGATCAGAAATTAGTAAAAAACAAACTGAAAGAGTGTTAAGTAAATTGTTAGAGGAAGGAGGCATCTCAGTAAAATCAAGAACAGTCAGGGCATACGTTGATACAATACAAAAATGTAGCCCATGGCTTTTTAAGGAGGAGTTGTTAAATATATCACAATGGAACCATCATGGTGAAGATTTAAAAAGAATAGAAAAGAAAAGCCCAGGGACTCTGCCAGTTGGCACATTGCCATTGTGGACATTCATATCTTGTTTGCTTAGTCCAAAGCCTTCAGTTCAGACAATGGTAGAGGAAGGAGAAGACATAATGATTCAAGTAAAAGAGAAGGTCTCTCAAGTTAGTCAGACAGAGGAAAAGATTCAAGTAAAAGAGAAGGCCTCTCAAGCTAGTCAGACAGAGAAAGAAAGTGTAAAACAGAAAAAGCCATCAGGGGGAAAGTTACAACAGGAGACTGCTACTAACACCTTTCTATCACCAGAGGGTGTAAGTGTCCAACCAACAGCACCACCTCTACAGGAGACTGCTACTAACACCTTTCTATCACCAGAGGGCATAAGTGTCCAACCAACAGCGCCACCTCCATATGCTGGGAGGCCCCCAACCCCCGCAGTTGATAGTTGGGATCCTGAGACAAGGTCTCAAATATTAACATGCCCTGTATTTGAGGCAGGAGGGCAGCGATTTTACCAAGTTTTAAATTTCAAAACAGTGAAGCAGCTAAAAGAGGCTGTAACAACCTATGGTCCTCAAGCACCCTTCACTGTAAGCTTGGTCGAATCCATTAACAACTTGAACATGACGCCAGCAGATTGGGCTAATATGTGTAAAGCTGTGCTAAATGGAGGACAATACCTGTTATGGAAGGTTGCCAATGAGGAATTTTGCAAGGAGACGGCTAGGCGAAATGCAGCAGCTGGTTATCCTCAGAGAAATCTAGATATGTTGTTAGGAAAGGGACCTTATGAGGATCAGCAGCAACAAATTGCATATGATCCTGGCGTATACGCACAAATTGCTGCAGATGCAATTAAGGCATGGAAGACTTTACAAGGACATGGAGGTTTACAAGGTCAATTATCTAAAAAAAGAAATCTGGTAAATGGAGATTATTGCAAGATTTAAGAGCCATTAATAATGAGATGGTTATTATGGGACCTGCTCAATCAGGGATTCCTCAGTTGTCTGCTTTGCCAAAAACCTGGTATGTTTTAGTTATAGATATTAAAGATTGTTTTTTTTCAATTCCAATTCATCCTGAGGATAGTCCACGTTTTGCATTTACTATCCCTGCATTGAATCATGAAGGTCCTGATCAGAGATATGAATGGAAAGTACTCCCTCAAGGGATGGCTAACAGCCCAACTATGTGTCAAATTTATGTTAACAAACTAATCCAGCCACTTAGAAATCAAAATCCTGAACTACAAATATTTCACTATATGGATGATGTATTATTAGCACACAAAGATAAAAACACATTGCTAGAATGTTATGCCACACTTACAAACTTATTAAAAAATTATAATCTAGAGATAGCAATAGATAAAGTACAATTAAATTTTCCAATTAATTATTTAGGAGTTCTATTATCCTCAACCATGGTCCGTCCACCAAAAATTCAAATACGAGTAGATCAACTCAAATCACTTAATGACTTTCAAAAGTTATTAGGAGACATAAATTGGATAAGGCCTTATTTAGGTATACCAACAGGAGAGTTGGGACCTTTATTTGATATCCTAAAAGGTCCATCAGATCCAAATTCACCCCGAATGTTAATGCCTGAAGCAAGAAAGGCATTAAAAATCATTGAAACATATATGGAAAATATGCATTTGGATAGAATTGATATAAGTTTGCCTTTATTATTTATTGTACTACCAACAAAAAATATTCCTACAGGAGTATTTTGGCAAGAAGGTCCATTATTATGGATACATTTATCTTATTCTCCTAACACTATTCTTACTAGGTATCCTGAGGCTGTAGGACAATTAATACTCAAAGGAATAAAAGCAGCAAAGGGAGTGTTTGGGATTTCTCCCAATAAAATTATTACTCCATATACTATGGATCAAATTGATGAGTTAGCTAATGAGTTAAATACTTGGGCAATAATCATGTGTAAATCTAATGTTTCATTTGATAACCACTCACCATCTAATCCTTTATTGTCTTTTTGGTCTTCACATCCTGTAGTTTTTCCAAAAATGACAAGAAAAACACCTATCATGAATGCTTCAAATATATTCACTGATGGGTCAAATAATGGTACAGCAGCAGTCGTTACCCCTGATCAAACTTTTACATTTTTAGTACCCAAACAATCAGCTCAAAAGGTAGAGCTTAATGCAGTTTTACAAGCTTTTGTGATGTTTAAAGATTCTGTATTTAATTTATTTTCTGATAGTCAGTATGTAGTTAATGCTATAGTATCTCTTGAAGATGCTGGTAGGATTTCCCCTTCTTCTACTGTTTTCTCTTTGCTTTCCACTATACAAAGTCTAATCTGGGACAGAAAAGATCCATTCTTTATAGGACATATCAGGGCACATACAGGATTGCCTGGAGCCCTTAGTTTGGGCAATGATTTAGCAGATAAAACTACACATGACATACATATTTTCTCTACACTAGAAGAAGCTATAAATTTTCATAAAAAGTTCCATGTCAATGCTAATACTTTACAAAAGTGTTTTAAAATAACTAAGGAACAAGCTAGACAAATAATAAAACAATGTCAAAATTGTGTGACCTTTTTACCACAAGTTAATCTTGGAGTCAATCCTAGAGGATTGATACCTAACCATATTTGGCAGATGGACGCCACACACTTGCCAGAATTTGGAAAATTAAAATATTTGCATGTTACAGTTGATACTTCTTCTGGATTTTTGATGGGCTCCCTTCATGCCGGAGAAAAACACTAAAGATGTTATAGCTCATTGCTTACAAAATTTTGCCACTGTGGGTGTTCCAAAACAGTTAAAAACAGATAATGCCCCTGGTTATACTTCTACCTCTTTTAAACAATTTTGTTCAACATTTGGCATTACTCATATAACAGGAATCCCATACAATCCACAGGGACAAGGCATAGTTGAAAGAGCTCATCAAACTCTTAAAATGTACTTATGAAAGCAAAAAGAAGGAATTGGGAAGGGGTATATATTCCCCAAAGATAAACTTAAAATAACCCTTTTTACTCTAAACTTTTTAAATTTGGATTCATCAGGACTTAGTGCTGCGGAAAGGCATATGTGTCCAAAAAATGTGCATAAGCCCAAGGTACTTTGGAAGGATATTCTAACAGGACAATGGAAAGGTAATTGTCTGGAGTCGGGGGTCTGTTTGTGTGTTTCCACAGGGAGAACAGCAGCCGATTTGGATTCCAGAAAGATTAACTAAAGCGATTTCTACAGACCAAAAAGAAGATGATTTGGCTCAAATCCATAACAACTGATATCCAAAACTCCAGTTTGGCTATTCTTACATCTGCAACAGAACCAGGATGCTTTTTTCAATATCTATTTTATTATTGCCCTTTGCCATATCATGAAGTTCTATTTTGTTTTTTGAGCTCATACAGACCTAGGTTAATGTTTTGCTGATCAGTTCTATTTTTTGAGTATAGAGTTTTTAAACATTGCAATGGAGATTTCACCTGTAAAAAGTTATAAGGCCTTTACTATAATGTTATGTGTTGTATGTATTATATTATGTGTGCACACTTGTGTTTTGTGTTATATGTTTGAATGTACGTATGTCCATATATCATATATGATGAGCGCTCATGATAAAATGGATCCAAATATTTTTTTTCACATGATTTATATGGTTTAATTTATTTTATTTTATTTCTTAATATTTATTTTTTAGTTTTCGGCGGACACAACATCTCTGTTTGTATGTGGTGCTGAGGATCGAACCCGGGCCGCATGCATGAGAGGCGAACACGCTACCGCTTGAGCCACATCCTCAGCCCCATATATGGTTTAATTTAAATTGGGTAAACAACTGTTGAGGATTGTTTTAATATGTATACAAAAAAGAAGGTTAACAGATCTGTTTGTTTACTTTCACCTTTCCTTTTCATTATATTTAATAATTCTCTTAAAGATAATGTAAATTGTTAAGAAAATTGTTTTCTTTTAGTGCCTTCTGGAATGTTACATAATTTTTTCTTTAGCCATTATTGCCAGAATTCCTATCTTCATCCCAGTGCCGGTGAAGACAATGTAAATTGTTAAGAAAATTGTTTTCTTTTAGTGCCTTCTGGAATGCTACATAATTTTTTCTTTAGCCATTATTGCCAGAATTCCTATCTTCATCCCAGTGCTGGTGAAGTCAAAGATAAAACCAATCTACAGCTTCTACAATAGCCATCACTGAACTGCTTGCAGAACTTGCCTGGACACATTGTGAGCTCACCTGTATGCATTGTGAACTATCTGTTGGTGCAGCGACTTGTGGTAGTGTTGGGGTATTTTTGCTGATGATGTCATTGGTGGTACAATTTTTCCAAAAGGAGCCGTCAATTGGCTTGGTGTATCTTCCTCCCTTCTGCTTGTCATGATTGTCCAGCCAAAATTTGGGGGCCAACAGAGGTGAGGCAAAGAACCTCACCCCCCCGCTGGTACAAAGACCTCTCCACAGGTGTGGCTGTATACTGGACCGGTAGTCAGTGACGGGTAAGATCCAATTGCAATGGTACCAACCTAAGGACCATATGTACTATTGGACAACCTAAGGCAGGCACGGTCCCTAAGCCACATGCTTGTTTTTTAAACAGAGAGGGGGAGATGTTGAGAGCCACAGCCGAAGGGGCCCCAGCAAACTTCCAGCTGCCAGCAAACTTCCAGCTGCCGGCTGATGATTGGCTCACAGCGGCCCCAGCAACATCTAGCTGATTGGCTCCTCGGCCCCAGCAACATCTAGCTGATTGGCTCCTCTGCGGTGATGCTCATTGGGCTGTTTCCCTGCCCTTTCAGACCACGGAGCTGCTCATTGGGGGACTTTTTTGGCTCCGCCCATGTGACCCAGCCAATCGGCCTCAAGAGCAGGAGGATTGTGGGAGGTGGAGAGAAGCTTGTGTGGGAGAGAGAGGCTTGTAAAAAGCCGGTGGTGGCAGTTGAGGCTCTGAGGGTTTTTCCTGAGAGGCTGTTTTGTTTGGCGTGTGTGGTTCTAAAAATAAAGTTAGTTTCTTTTGACAAGTGGCTCCTGATTGTGCCCAGCCAGACTGCGGCAATGTATGACCTAAGGTTATTTGGTATCATGCTGCACTCTTTGTGGCCAAATGATTGGAGGCAATCTGCTACACGGTACTTGCATGGTACAATGGTGGCCAGGAGATTTGACTTGTGTCTTCTCTGGATTTTTGTTGACTACCTCAATAGGCTGTATTAATTTGCTAGCATTGCTATGACAACATCTCACAAACTGGGTGATATAAAACAGTAGACTTGTATTTCCTCACAGTTCTGGAGGTGGAAGTCCAAGATCAAGGTGCTGGGTGGGGCTGGAGTCCTCAGACTTCTTTCCTGCCTTAGAGATGGCCATTTTCTCCATGTGTCCTCACGTGGTGTCTCTCTCTGCCTGTGTGCTTCTGCTGACTTCTTGTCCTTATCTCCTCCTAGGACACCAGTCAGATTGGAATCAAGCTTATGCTAAGGCTTCATTTTAACCTAATCACCTCTATAAAGACCCTATCTATAAATACAAATCACATTGTGAGGTGCTGAGGGTTAGGACCTTAACTTGTGAACTCTTTGCAGGGGGCAAAATTCAATCATAACAGAGACTTATTACTTCTAGAAAGGAAACAAAAATGAGAGAATCCAGAAAGTCCAGAATTGAAAAGACAAGTGATGTTTGGTGGATGCCACTGAGATTGGATGTTTGGTCCATGCCATTGACATGTGGAACACACTAATGCAATACCCCTGTGAGCTTCATCTTCAAGATTAACCAACAGCTTAAATTAAGCCAACTTATTGGGAAGCCTTGTTGTATTTTTAGTGATATGATAACTAAATTCAGAATGAAAACGGAATTCTAAAAGCATCTCATCCATACAGTACAAAGATCTCTGACACAGACATTCCTTCTTATATGGGCAATAGAAAACTTCTGGCCAAAGAGCTAATGTTTGATGGGCATGTATCCTATGTCATAAGGAACTCTCATAACAGGACATATTTGTAGATCTGGCTCAGGAAAGTGCAATAAGATTCAACCTGGAGCCAGCTGGGATGACTGACCAACACTATAGGCAACCAAATCCAGAGCCAAACCTGGGAGAGCCTGGGTTCTTGACTGTGGAGATGATCTTTACGATGGCTACTGTCATGTTAAACTGAATATACACTGTTTAATCAGCTTTTTTTCTGCTGTGACTTAAAGACCTGACCAGAACAACTTTAAAAGAGGAAAAGTTTATTTGGGAGCTCATGGTTTCAGAGATCTCAATCCATAGACAGCAGACTCCATTCCTCAGGGCTCAAGGTGAGGCTAAACATCCTGGCAGAAGAGTGTGGAGGAAGGGAAGCAGCTCACATCAGGATCAGAAAGCAGAGAAGGGGCTCCACTCTCCAGATCCAAAATATATACCCCATTGCCATGCCTCACCTGCCTCCAAACCATCTGCTATGGTTAAAATATCTCATGTGTTAGAAACGTAATCCCCAAATTCATACATTAATGAATTTGAGATGGAGTCTTTGGGAGGCCATTTGAATTAGATATGATCAAGGGGATGGGGCCCCATGAGGGCATTAGTAGCTTAATAGGAAGAGGAAGAGATGTGTTAGGATGCAGCAAGAGGCCCTTACCATAGGCTGAGCAGTGCTGGTGCCATGCTCTTCCCAGCCCAGTCTGTTGTATTCAGTTATAGCAGCAGAAAATGGACTAAGAAACCATCTTTGCTTTAAGAGGCAATGGTTTTCAACAGAGCTGAGCATCTTCCTTATTAGCTCAGGAGATCCACTGGGACCTAGGAGGAGGAAGTTGTAAATGAGGAGTTAGGCTTGATGGTTCTGCGGACAGCATTCACCATGACATGCTTCACTGAGGATCAGCTATGTAGGTAGACTGCAGGGAGCAAAGGTTAAACAGCAGGACAAATGAGTCCATCAACATATGTGACCAGCTCAATTTCATCTTCCCCTGCTGTTAAGGTATAGAACTGTAAAAATCAGCAACCAAACATGCTTAGCATTACTTGGACCCATACTCAAAGTCAAGGTAGCCCCAGTCCCTCTGAAGCGGTTGGGTTTTATATCATGTTACAAACATCTCACAAAGCCCTGTAAGAGCTGGCAAAACAAATGTAGTCCCATGAAATCAGGAACCTAATTATAGGAAGTATAGAACAAAAAACACTCTTAGAATGGGAGAAAATATCATGACACTTATATCTGACAGAGGAGTCATATCTAGAATATAAAAATACTCCCACAAATCAGTAAGAGACAAGATAAATAGAAGAATGAACAAAAGATTGTAACGGGAACTATGCAAAAGAAAATACCCAATGTTCAATATCATGTGAATAAGTGTCAACTTTGAGGGAAGGGAAAATTAAAAGCATAATGTGATACCAGTATACATCTGAAACTTGAATGGTTACAAAGAAAAGCATTAATTATTGGTAACTATGTGGACCAATCAGTATTCTCATGTATTGCTGGGAGAAGTATAAATCGGTACAGTACCTTTGGAAAAATATTTGCCAGTGCTTACTGAAGCAGAACATGCATGCATATATCCAATGATCTAGCAGTTCTACTCCTGGGTATATGGCCAAGAAAAAATGCTTATGTCTACAAAAAGATTTCCTTGAATGCTCGTAGCTAGCTCCTCCACTCATCAGAGCCCCAAATTGGAAACTACCTAAATGCTCATCAACAATAAAATGGGTAAATAAATTCTTGTATATTCACACAATGAACTTCTGTATCAATTATACCACAAACTAAGTGGTTTAAATTTATATATGTTCTTTCATAGCTCTGGAGGCTAGAAGTCTGAAATCAAGGAGTCAGGGCCAAGGTTATTCTTTAGGAATCTAGAGGGCAATCCTTCCTTGGCCCTTTGTGTGTGTGTGTGTGTGTGTGTGTGTGTGTGTGTGTGTGTGTGTGTGTCTCGCTGGGCAATGAGCGCAGGGCATCACAAATGCTAGGCAAGCACTCTATTACTGAGCTTACCAACAATCTCCCTTCCTTGACTCTTCCAGCTTCTTGTAACCCAGGTGTTCCTTGCTTATAGCAGCAGCACTCTAATCTTGGCCTGTCACGATGTGGCCATCTTCTCCCCATGTGTAACTGTGGTATGAGCTGTCTGTTTTGTTGTCTTCTTTACTTTTGTTTTGAACTTCCTGAAATACTTGCAGCCAAAGGAAGAGACAATAAATTTTTTTTCTTGCTTCATATCAAAATTACTGCTTACACTTCAAGCTACCCTTAGAAGGGAAATCCATTGTTATTAACATCCAGGAAAGAGAAATGGTGGAAGGAAAGCATGAGAATTTCTACAAAAAGATGAAAACAGAATTAAATCCATTTAAGAATCTGGACACACCCAGAGATAAAGTCCTTAAATAGCAAAATGCTTAAGCTATCTTTCAGGAAAATCCTACAGACTCCACTTAGCGATCATATGAAACAGTCTTTTCAAGAACGGATATATGCAAAGTAGATCCTCTGATCAATGACCTTTAGAATGTCATGTCCCAGGCTTAAAGTTCCCAGAGCAGAACATGTTACCTCCCCCACATTAGAAACATTTGATCTGTAAAGAGGCATGAAAACCACCTGTGCCTGCATAAAAGAACCCTCAAACTCCCTTTCATGCCATTCAATCAATAAGCAACTTCCCCCCTCTCCCCTCCTGTAAATTTGCTACCAGCAACTGACTGGGGAGGCAAATTTAGGCTTCTACTAGCTCTTTGTCCGTGACAGTGCAATAAAACCTTTTCTTTTTTGAGATGGAGTTTATATGTTGTCCAGACTGGAATTGAACTCATGATTCTCCTGTCACAGCGACTATAGCTTTCTGACCCACGTCTAATTTAAACCATTTTCTTTTTGCAAAACTTAGTACTGATTTCTGTGCATATTACACAGTGGGTCCTTATTCCATATCAGAAGGATAAAGCAAACATCAGGCAATATTTTAGCTTACATGTGAAAGGCAAATGTCTACCAATCTCAGCTACCTGCAACTCAGCAAGGAAGAAGAGAACCTATTAGTCCTCAGGACTGCACATAAACTGCACCTGGGAACCGTTTCCGGGTTTTCAATACCCGATTCATAATCCCCAGGGGTGGGGCAAGGAACTAGTGTTAAAGGGGCTCTGAGGGTTTCTAAAGCTCAAACAAGCCAAGAATGAGCGCCCTACTGGCGAAGTAAAAAGTGGCGCAACAAACAATTTTGTAAACGAATACTTCTTGAAAAGATTTTCTCGAAATCTTATTAAAATAACCATGTAAAAAGGCTCATTTGCAACGTTCCTTTTCTGCAACAAGAAATGTAAGACCGGGAATTAATTCTGGTTAAGACAAATGTGTTAGCGTCTTTAGTTATTTGCATTTACAATAATTTTACCACGGATGTAATTGAGAAAACTAGCACCTAAGACGCATTTCACAAAAAAACAATGTAGCCAAAATTTACTGAGTACGTCAGGCGCCAAAACCCACCGAGGTTGCCAGTTGTGTTGCAATGAGATGGACAGTTACCCTAGGGACCCGTAGGACTGCACTTACGATGCGAGGCTACATCGTGTACGAACAGAGGAATGAAATGTTGTATTAAAATTATGTTCAACGAATCTGCTGTTCATTGTCATATATACGTTCTGCTGTCATATATACCTAATCAAAATTAATTAATGAATTAATTTTAAAAATTAAAAAAATAAAAAGACCCCGCAAAAATACTGCAGAGCCCCGCCTCGCTGCGTCAGCCCCTCCCTCCCTCTGGCCCCGCCTCAACTTCCGCCCTGTCGCCCCGCCCACCCGCGTCTCCGGATGCTCTGCTTGGCCCGGCTCCATCAGCCTCTCTTTCGCTGGGCGCTTGGCCATCTTCCTCGCGGCCATCCAGCTTCCTTGGCGTGTTTTGTTTGCGACGCTGTCGTGTAACAGCGCGCTTTACGGTCGCGGGGACGGAGCGAGCCGGTGCCAGGGCCACTCGGGCCGGGAAGCAGGGAAGGCGAGCGAGGTTGATGCCCGGCGGCGGGGCAAGCGCGGCGTCTGGCCGGCTTCTCACCGCCGCGGAGCAAAGGGGAGCCCGGGAAGCATCGACGTTCAGGAGCGGCCCGGGGGGCTCCGGTGGCGGCGGCGGCGGCGGCAGAGGCGGAGCAGGCGGCCCCGGGCCGGGCAGCGGAGGCCCCGGCGGCCCCGCGGGCAGGATGAGCCTGACCCCGAAGGAGCTCTCGAGCCTGCTGAGCATCATCTCTGAGGAGGCGGGCGGCGGCAGCACCTTCGAGGGCCTGTCCACCGCCTTCCACCACTACTTCAGCAAGGCCGACCACTTCCGCCTGGGCTCGGTGTTGGTGATGCTGCTGCAGCAGCCAGACCTGCTGCCCAGCGCGGCGCAGCGCCTCACCGCGCTTTACCTGCTCTGGGAGATGTACCGCACCGAGCCGCTCGCAGCCAACCCCTTCGCCGCCAGCTTCGCGCACCTCCTCAACCCCTCGCCGCCCGCCCGCGGCGGCCAGGAGCCCGACCGGCCGCCGCTCTCAGGTACCTCCCGGAGCCGGATGGGCGGTGCGGAGAGTTAGACTGGGCAGCTTCCCGTCTGCGCTTCTGGAGCCCGCCCAGAGGGAAATAAAGCCCCTTTTGGAAATGATCAACCCCCAACCACTGGAGTAGGAATTCAGGTGGTAGCCGAATTACAAATTCATTACGAATTCATGGCACCGAGGATTATTTGTCTCATCCGTACAGGCCATCCAGTCATTCAGGTCCTTAAATAAGGTTCATCTTTCTAAAGGCCATCTGGAGATGTGTATAATTAAACCTGTAGTGACACAATGGATCTGTCCCCGTTTGTGAGTCTCAGAGGAGTAAACAAGTCAATATTAAGAACCCGAAAAAGTTGTTGAACGAAAATACACATTAAGCAGCATGTAAGGACCTTACAGCTGCCTTCCTTGGACTGCTATGATGTGGTGAGGGTAGAGGATAGAAGGTTGTCTCAAGTTTACGGGCTTTGTTACAAAACGCAGGTTTTGCATTATGTAGAAAGTATGCTTGTGCAGCATTGGTTAGATGAGACGTAGGTTAGGTGCCAGGCTGCATTTTTAAATTTCTGCGGTACTGGGGATCAAACCCAGGGCTTCATGCAGGCTAAGGAAACAAGGTGTTCTTGCTTGCAGCCTTTCTGAATCTAAAACATTTTTGGATGCCTTCCTGCACTATCCTCATCTAAGAAGGGCAGCCTTTGTGTTGGGGAAGTTTGTGACTGCCCAGAAAGTGAATGCCACATCAGAATGTTTGTAATGGGGAATGGGGACAGTGTGGGATTTAGGTCAGAAACCCTTTGAATTCTGAAGGGTGTGTTATGTAAAACCCCATCCTCAAATACATGTCTAAACCTACACCTTGTTCCTACACTGCATTGTAAACAGGAGGGGAGTTAGTTGCCAGGAAAGGAATCCCCAGGATGTAATCTCCATGGCTCAGTTTTCTCATCAATAAAATTCAGATTCTAATAATTCCTAACTGGTAGTGTAGTTATGAAGAATAAAAGTACCTGTGAAAAGTATTACTCGTTATTGTCACTAATATATTTTTTTGAGATGGATCTGAAACTCTGGATTTTTTTGCCTCAGCATCCTCAGTAGTTGGAATCACAAGTGTGCATTACAGCACGTACCTATTGTTATCTTTATTCAAATAGGTAGGGATAATGCTTAAATTACACAGAAGAGGAAATGTTATTACCAGAGCTCCAGTCTTAGTGCTTCTCTTGTACATTTAGGGTAAGCATCTAATGGGCATAGTTTTAAAAAAGTTAAAAATCTTTTCAAATGATTTTGAGGTAGGACAGACAATATATTTGGAAGTAAGAAGGATGGCTTCCCAAAATCAACAAATTTGCAGTCTGGTTGGGAGAACATAAAGACAGGTCAATAACAGCATGTACTAGGTGTCAAAAAAAAAAAAGATGCAAGTAGCACAAAGAAACCACCTTCAGAACTGGAAAGATCCCCAGAGGAAAAGTGTGATATCTTTGCTGTATGTTAATTAGGATGCAGGTAGAAGGGAAGAATGTGGCCCTGCCAGGTTATTGTTAAAGAATTAGGTCTATACAGAGAAGCTGAAATTTTGTCTACCTGGAGTAGGTTACATGAATGGGAGGGTAATCAAGAGGTAAGATTAGGAAGGTGGGTGGTGACTAGTTTATGAAGTGTTTTATAATGATGTAGAAGTTTGGGGTTAATTTTATGTATGTGAACTGGTCAAGTAGTATGATAGATTTGTATTCTAGAAATAGAATTAAATGGCAAGGTGGGGCATGAATGGTGGATTAACAGGGGTCAAAACTGGGATGGTGCAAGGTTGACTGAAGCCAATAAAGAAGAGAATTATAGAAAATTGGGAGCTAAGGAAATCAGACTGTCCTGTAGTTCAGGCAAGAGAGGGGGGACTGGAGCTGAGGGAATGCAGACTGGGGACATTGTAAGATATCAATAGTTGATAGATAAGGCTTGGGGAGCAGTTGAATATGGACAAAAGAGAACCTTCAGTCTTGTGGAGATGGTAAAGTTGCACTGTATACTGAAGCAGGTATGTTGCTACTGATGAATTTGCTTCCCCTGTCTCTTTAGCTTCTGCACAGTCTTAGAAAGCACTTCAGAACATTATACTTTTTATATTTGTTTGCTTTGGTCTTTGCAGGAATTGAGGGACTTAGAAAGCAAAGTTCTTAATAGATACAGAAATATATTTTTTTCATAATAGTACCACAAATCATAGAATTTCCAGAGGCTTAACTAATTACAGAGTTCACAGAGGTGTATATTTCATTAACCTAAATTCAGTTATAATTTAGTTTATAAAAATTTGTAGGTTGCAGTGACAAGTAGCAAATACTAATTTTACTGGATCTGTTACTTTTTAAAAGTAACCATCAGAGAAATCATTGTACATCTTTGTTTACAGGATTTTTACCTCCTATAACTCCGCCAGAAAAGTTTTTTCTTTCCCAGCTCATGCTGGCACCCCCAAGGGAACTCTTCAAAAAGACACCTCGCCAGATCGCTTTGATGGATGTCGGAAACATGGGCCAGTCTGTGGACATTAGTGGGCTTCAGTTAGCCTTGGCTGGTAAGGAAGAATTGGAAGTTTGAGCATTTTTGTCTGTTTTTGAGATATTCTACTTAAAACAAAGGTCTTTGTAATCTTCATTGTGAAAGGGTTAGTTACCTTTCATTTTAAAGTAGTTTCAGTACTGGATTCTAAATATATGCCTTCGATCATCTATCCATTCTCCCGCAATGTAAAAAGAAGCAAGCATACCTTGTTGTTTTAGAGCTAGCTACACAGATCATCTCTGCAGTCTTGAAGTAGAGATGTTTTTCAGTAGGATCTATAGACCAAAGGTGTATTTGTGGATGATGCAGGGTATTTTTTTCTTCTTACTACTAGGAATTGAACCCAGGGTTCCTCTACCTCTGAGCTATATCCACTAATTCTTTTTAAATTTTATTTTGAGACAGTCTCACTAAGTTGCTCAGGTGGACCTCAAACTTGCAAGCCTCCTGCCTTAGCCTCCCTAGTAGCTGGGATTACAGGCTTGCATGTGCCACCACACCCAGCAGTTTGTGCTTTCTTAATTTAGGGGGGGAAAAAAAGCAGGCAAGTTAAACATTAGTGACTACAAAGAGAAGATTTACCCTTTAACAATGACAGTGTTCATTAAATAAATTTTATTAAAAACCCACCAATTAGTTGACAATTTGCCAACTGAAAAATTTTTTCTTACATCTTGAACAATAGCCTGTTTTCTAATAACTTTTTGTACTTCTGTAATTTGGATTTAAAAAAATGCATCAGGATAATTTTGTTAGCATTTTTCTTATTAAGGAGACAATTGGGTCATGTCTAAGGCTTTTTTTTTTTGGGGGGGGGGGCGGTACTGGAGAGTGAATCCAGGGGCACTGGACCACTGAGCCACGTCCCTAGCCCTGTTGTATTATATTTTAGTGACAGGGTCTCACTGAGTTGCTTAGGACCTCACTTCGTTGCTGAGGCTGGCTTTGAACTCATAATCCTCCTGCTTCAGCCTCCCAAGCTGCTGGGATTACAGGCATGCGCCACCATGCCCAGCTGATAAAATTGGAATGTGGGAATTTAAAAAAAATATTTTGTGTATGTATATACACACACTCACATATAATCTGGCCATTTTTTTTTTATGTTGTAAAAAGCAAGTAGCTTTACCCCTTAGTAGCTTGTCCTTTCACTCTTCCTCGTGATGTCCTCAATTTTTAAACATCTCACATTTTAACCTCTTTCAGAACGCCAGTCTGAACTGCCAACTCAAAGTAAAGCCAGCTTCCCCAGTATTCTCAGTGATCCAGACCCGGATTCTTCTAATTCTGGATTTGACAGCTCAGTTGCCTCCCGGATCACAGAATCTTTAGTCAGTGGACCAAAACCACCTATTGAAAGTAGGTATATAGAGATTAATTTTATACTCTTGGTTTTATTTTATCAGCATTCACTGAAACTTTTCAGGTTTTTGAGACATCTTGTTATTTTCATTACTACTTTAACTTTAGTTTAATATAAAACTTCTAGGAAAATATCTATAGAGAGTTCAGTGAAAATTAGTTTCTTCTTTAAAAAAGTTACATACAGTTTGATTTACATATCTTACATCTTGAAGATATAAATTCTCTGATTTTACTGAAATCAGTCTATTTATTACCATTACCTTCTCCACTTTAAAGTTTTACTGATTTTACAGCTCTTAATTTACTTTAATTCAAAGGAAGCACTTACTGAATTTGAAGTAATATAGCTGCACCTTTTGGTTTGACAGGCTTCCATGTTTGAGTGATGAAGGCATGTTTTCTGCTTCGGGATAGGAACATATTCTCCAGATTACAGTGCCACCATTAGTTTGAAGCTTACACTGACTTGTCATACCATTTGGTTTACAGTATATATTTGGCATAAGTGGGTTTAATATTTGAAGTTTTATCTAGTCACAAGTGGACCTAAAGATCCATGCCACATAATGATTTATGTGTAGTATTTGCTCAGGCACAACTTTGAATTGGATGAGCCTCCAGGACGGTATCTGAAGAGCACATCACTCATAATAAGTGAGTCCGACCACTCACCAGGCATTTCTTCTTCACATAAGTACCACTTCTCATGAAGTGTTAGACTGTTTATTTTCATAAGTGGTCCGAAGAGGGATTCAGATACCAGTCCTTGGGCAGCAAGTGATGGAATGGTGGAGATGTGTGTCAATTTTGTAGCCAGAAAATAGTCTTTGGCAACAAACTGGATAGCATAATCCCCAATTTGATAGGGACTAGGATGCATAAGAGAATAAGCCACCTTTGCCCTATGGGAAAACCAAAGAGATGTGTGACATAGGTTCAGCAGAAATCTAGCCAGAGTTTATTTTAGTGAGTGTATAACTTACAGGTCTACCTGTTTTATAAAATAGTTAAATATACTCAGTTCATTTTCCTGTTTTA